TTTGTAAAAGGTTGTCTGTCTGTTAATGTTTTCCTCCTTTTATTTTTAAATAAAAAAAAGAAAGCTAGTCTGTCACCAGCGTACTACTATATAGATGTGTATTTAATAATAATTGCTGAACTATATGTATCATTTGCATTTTTCTGAGTATATGCAACATTAAAAAATTAAAATGACTTTAAAATTAAGTGAGAGAAGAGGGAGGGACCGAAGCAGGGAGATTCAGGTAGTAAATTACACAGTGGAGTCATAGGCATAGCAGTTCAAGTAAGAAGTAGCACCAAAAACCAATTTGATTATATTTTGGGCTACGTCCCAAAGTAAAGCTAACAAGAGTCTCTGACTGAACGACATGACAGAGAAGATGAGGCAAAACAGTAGCAAAATCTTTGACCTGAGCCTCTGGAAGGCTGATCTCCACTTGGAATGGGGAAGGCTGGAGGAGAACAGATTGGGAGCGGCTTCCTCAACATCAAAACCTATCGAATGTGAAATACTCCTTAAAGGTCAGATGGAAAAGTTGGCAGGTAAGGAGGGAGGTGCATAATTCTGGAGAAACAGATGTGAGAATTTTGTCAGCCTATAAATCAATACTTAGAGTCATATAACCAAGGAAGTTCCCTAAAGGAACAACAGATCCAAGAGAAAAAAACAAGAGTATGCGTAATTTGCCTAGAAGAGGGAATGCTCCACGAGAACAAATGCTCGGGAATGTCAGTTGGATTTAGCCATGCAAGAATCACCAGCTGTGGGAAACCAGATAGGAAGGACAGAGCCTAACTAGCCTCCTCTGGAAGCACTAAGTAGAAAGGCAACCCACAAGCTTGCCGACATGTTCCAGGCTCTACAGAAAAGTCAACACAACCGAGACCCGGCTGTTCACCCGGAAGTGTACTACGGATGGCGGGAGGCAGATGAGTGAGGCAGATGAAGCTCTGATACTCTAATCACTTGTTCCTGTGTCTGAGGAATAAAGGCACGGTAAGCCAGACTGGCGGGGTTCTTTGCCGAAGGGAGACAAGAGCCCCTGACTCCTCACACTTTTACCTAACTCTGTCTCTGTTTTTTAAGCTTGTCCCCCTATTCCTACCCCCAAATCAGGTACGAACTCATAGTCTGGCTCCTACAATCGGCACCTATTTTGTACACTGATACTAGGATTGAAACTTATAAAAACAGGCTAGTGCTACATCTCTAGCCCTTTTTTATTTTAATACCGGGTTTTGCTAATTCGCTAAGGCAAGGCTCGAACTTGCAATCCTCCTTCTGGCCTCAACCTCCCAGAATGCTGGGATTACAGATTATAGGCATCAGCTACCAAACCTGGCTCAATGGTGCCTTTAATACAACAAACTGATACTACCAGTGACCCAGAATAGAACAAAATTTATGCATTATGAACTATACATACAATATATTTAGATCTATTTCTTTTCTCAATTCTGTTCTGTCCTATGGGCTTTCTGTCCATTTATTTACAAAGTTAAACAGTTTTAGTTATTATAACTTTATAATAACTTCAGAGACTTGGCACCTGATAGGATATTCCCTCATTACACTTCTTCCACAGAACGTTTATTCTTACATGAATTCCCCTTTATGAACTTTGTAAAAGTTTCTTGGATAGTCCTTTCAAAAAGAGTGGCTAGTATTTTCATTGCACTTTTATTAAATACACAGACTATTTAACATTTAAAATAGTTATGCCTTAACAATTAGTTGCAGAGGTCAAAAATATAGGTCTTAGGGAGGAGATAGTTTTATTGTATTGCTCACGCTAGCTTCAAACTCATGATCCTCCTGCCTCAGCCCGCTCTCTGTAGCCAGGATAGTATACATGTGCCACCACACCTGGCCTTACATAGTTAGTAACTATAAAGGTTTGTGAAGTAAAGGATGGCCTACCTAAACTAACACAACAGAATGAGAAGGGACAGCTGTTTGGAGGGAACTCCAGCATCTAGACTCTGAGTGGGACAGTGTAAACTGCCAATGGAAACCAAGAAGGTGTGACCAGAGCTGTGACAGGAAATGCCAGGCACCTAGAAAGATTACAGGAGGCACGGGAAAGAATTCCATGAAAAGACGCAGGAAGTGTCCGGTAAGCAGCATTTATAGTGACACAGAAGTCACTGCTGAGCTTAGAAGAACAGGTGTAGGAACTGGGGGAACAGCATTAAACTATATGTTAAGGAACGGATGAGAAGACAGAATTAGTGCAACAGCTACAAGAGTTTGCAAACTAGGAGAGGGCTTTTGTCCACGAGGACAGGAAAGACAGGAACAGAATTAAGTGCTGATGGGAGGATCCAGCACCAAAGGAGACCCTGAAATTACGAAAGGAACAGAGAAACGGGACAGTACAGGCTGGTGAAGGGGTGCGAGGAGCTGTGCTCAGCGATGTGCGTACAATATATGGGCAGGGAGGGGATGCCCTCAACCAGAGGAATTGGTCTCACGCTTCCATTTGGAACAGCAGAAACGAGGAAACTGTAGCACCTGCTAAATAGCGACAGACAGAGACAGACTGCTGCAATGGGCAAAGTTCAGAGAATTTTGCTTTATCCAGGAAGTAAGCAATTTGGTCAAGTTAATTTTTGAAAGCCACCCCTATTGTTGAACTCTTATGTTACTTTCAGTCTATCTCCAGGAACAAAACAGCTCAGTCACAGTGTAAGCTCTTTTGAAACTTCTGTACTGCAACCGCCAAAGCGCCTTGAGAAAACAGTATTTCCCAACTACACTGCTCCCCAGTCGTCTCTCACCCTGAGTGACTACCATTCCTCTCCCCTCAACCTGTCTTGGTATCTATTGCTTATTTTTGTTAATATTTTAAGAGGTAAAAGCTGATTTATTTTAAAAATGTCAGAGTATGGGTAATTACCCAAATGTAAATTCAAGAAGACTTCTTTTATAAATGATTCAAAATATCATCCCATTAAAGTTCTGCATATCCCAAATGAAGCTGGAAGCCAGATTTATCCATTACCATTATAAACTGTAAAATGGTAAATGGCTGAAGAAACAAACAACATCAGAAATAACTTCCCAATAAAACACAGTATAGAAAAACTTCCATGAGAAATCTTTTGAAGATTAGTCAGGAAACAGTCATCTGTCTATGCAAAGGACAGGATCTTTTCATTACTTGAAAACCATTTGCAATTCAGATCAACAAGTAAAATCACCCACCAATGAAGCACATAAGCACCTTCTGCCCCGAAACCTCACAAGCTCCCAATTTTGTGCCAAAACCTTCTCTGTACTAAGAACTTATCAACACTCCACTGAACACCAATCAGAATGCAGATAGCAACCTAGATCTGGGTCAGGAACTGTTTTTGTTGCAGATAAGGAGCTTCAGGACTCCCAGAGGACACCAGAAACAGGCCCGTCTTTCTTACCTTCACCATGAACGTGAAGTCTGTTAAGGCTGGAGAGTAGACGGCCCCACCAGCACAAGGGCCCATGATCAGAGAGATCTGAGGGATGACTCCGGATGCCGTGACATTCCTCTGCAGAGAGAGAAAGGCAGAAGCATCTGGTTACAGATGTGCTCAAGGCATTATCTATGAAAAGATAATGACAACAATAAAATAACACTTGGCATTCCTTCCAGAGAAACTGTATCTAGGAGGCAAGTGACCCAGTCAGTACAGTTCTTCCAGAATTATCCATGTGAATTCTCCCCCTAACTGTTGGAATGGTAGGCATATTGCTTTCTGGGGCAAAGAATTCTTCTCTCTCCTTCTTAGAAGAGTATGAGCTACAGAGTCCCACCACCCTCGCCCAGCTGCAAATACACCTCAGACCCAGCACCCTTTTCTGTACAAAGTCACCTGGAAGGGGAGTGAAAACCTCAGTGCACAAAGCAATGCTTATCTTGGAGTCCAAACCACTATTGTGAGCTCCTACACACCCTGTACTGGGGACACCACAGTTACTAAGCTGCAAGACAGGTGCTGTTCTACACTGAGTCTTCCATGTCAGTATATTCCCAGGAAATCAAGGACAGCGAGGCAGGGGCGGCCTAAAAGGTTCTGTAAGGACAAGAGTGCTATGACGAGATCAGCCTCAGGCTACCTCCTGGGGAAGACAGAACCTGGGGACTTAAAGACCCAAGCATGGTCACAGGACCCAATCATACTAGGAAAATGAGGTCCACTTTTCAGGCTCCCTTGGTTCTGAGCCCCATCTCTATAAACCATGGGACACAGCTAAAGACAGTGCAAAAACGCATCTATGTTCTCTGCAATAGAACAGGGTCTCACACACACACATACTTCCAGCTCGAGCAGAGTAAAGAGTTTGCAATCCTCTCCCTGAAAAAAATATAAAACTGAACAAACCTGTCAAAAACAAGTATCCACAGCTTTGGAAATGGTTTACATGTGAATGAACAGTTATGAAGCATTCACTCATTAAAAAAAAAAAAAAAAAAAACCCTGCTAAACCTCAGGTAAAAACCACGACAGCCTGTGGCTGCTGCCAGCGCCCACAACAGCTCAGGACAGCCCTCCGGATAAAGAGAAAGAACACAGACCATAATTCAAATGCATAAGAAGCAATTAAGAGCACTGAAAATAGCTTTTTTTGGTTAAATACTACATATATTTCTCTTAACACTTTAAAAGACAAAAATATATAAAACAATTATATCACTGTATTTTGGGGACTTAATAAGAACACAAAGGAAAGGAGATAAAAATGGAGCTATATAGGAGCAAAGTCCCTATCTTTTACCAGAATAAGTCAGTATCAATTTGAACTAATTTTGCTAAATTACAATACATATTGAGCCAGGCGAACTGGCACACGCCTGTAATCCCAGCACTCAGGAGGCTGAGGCAGGAGGATCGTCGTGAGTTCGAGACCAACCTGGGCTACAAAGTGAGCTCAAGGCCAGTCTGAACTGCATAGTGAGACCCTTCTCAAAAAGATAGAAAAAAAAAGATACATATTGAAACCTTAACAGCAATCACCAAAAAAACTCAAAAAATAAAGTCCAAAAAAATTACAGCAGTGTTTTAAAAATATTCACTTAACATAACAGTTGTGGATTTTGTTTGTTTTTGAGACAAGTGGAATTATTTGTCAAAGACGTTATAGCAACTTCCTTAAATATTTTGAGTAACTAAAGGAAAACATAGAAAAAGAAGTCAAGGGAATTGAGATAACACTGTCTGGACAAACCAAGGGCACCATAAAAAGAAACTAGGCAGAAATTCTGGAATATAACTAAAATGAAAACTTCACTAGAAGGACTCAACAGCAGATCTGAGTATACAGAAAAAAGGACTGAGAAATTTGAACATAAAAATATCAACATTACCTAGTCTCAGGAACAGAAGAAAAAAAAATGAACAAAGCCTGAGGATCTACGGGAAAACATCAAACACACCAACATACAAATTACAGGAATACCAGAAAAGAGAAAGGGTCAGATAAAATATTTGAAGAAATAGCCAAAACCTTCCAAAGCTGATAAAAGCCATGAGTATACATATCCAAGAAGTTCAATATAATTCCAAGTGGTATGCAAATTCACATTCATAGTGAGACACATGGTCAAACTGTAAAAACCCAAATACAAGAAGAAACTTTGAAAGCAGCAAGACTAAAGCAACTTGCCACACATGCTAGGAATCTCAGTAAGATTAATGAATGGAGCCAGAAGGCAGCTGGATGTATTCAAAGTACTAAAAGAAAAACTGTCAATCAAGAATTCTCTATCCAAGCCAGGCATGGTGGTACACACCTATATTCTCAGCACTCAGGAGGCTGAGGCAGGAGAATTCCCACAAGTTAGAAGACAGTATGAACTACATAGTGAGTTCTAAGCCAGCCTGAACTACATAGCAAGACCTTGTCTCAAACCACCCCCTCAAAAAAAAAAAAAAAAAAATCTATATCCAGCAAAGCTAATCTTTAAAAAATAAATAAATATTTCTAGGTAAATAAAAGCTGAGGAAGTTCATTTCCAAAATTCCAATCAAAATCCCAATAACATTTCTGACAGAACTAGAGCAAACTAATATTCACACGGGACATGAAGAGACCCAGAATAGCAAAAGCAGTCTTGGGCAACAAGAACAAAGCAGGAGGCATCACAATCTCGTACTTCAAGCTGTATTACAAAAGGTACAGTGATAAAACAGCATGTTACTGGCCCAAAAACACAGACTTGTGGGAAAACTGAACAGAAAAGAATACATAGAAACAACTCCAGACATATTCAGCTATCTCATCTTTAACGAAGGGACCAAAAACATACACTGGAGGAAAGACAGCCTGTTTAACAAACAACACTGGGAAAACTGGCTGTCCACATGTGGAAGACTAAATCTAGACTCCTATGTCTCATATGTACTAAACAGAAATACAAATAGACCAAAGAGCTAAGTATTAAAGGAGAAAATCTGCTACAGAATAAAACAGGTAAAATCTTGAAGACAGGGGCATAGGCAATTCTCTTTGGTAGGAATGTAAGCTAGTACAACTATTATGGAAATCAATAGGAAAATTCCCCATAAAACTGAAACTAGAAATTGCATTTGACCCAGCCATTCTTCTAGGTCTCTTCTTGAAATAGTTAAAGATATCATATTACAGTGAGACGTGCATACTCATGTCTGTAGAAGCACAGCTCTTACATAACAGCTAAATCTTGGAAGAAGCCTGTATGCCCATCAACAGATGAATGGATAAGACAAACGGGGCATGTAAAAGATAAACCTGAGTCATATGTAGGAAAATACATGTGCTTTGTGACCATAATGTCAAGTAAAATAAGTCAGACACACAAGCTTAAATATTGCCTAGTTTCTCTTACATGAGAAACCCAAAACATAAATAAAAAACAAAATAAAAGATAAATAATAAGAAACAGGTAAGTCTTTTGCAAAAAGGAACAGAACCAAAAGACTGAGAGCAGCGGGGAAGAAAGGGGATGAAGAAAAACATTAATGCATGTGTGCTATGTAAATAAAGGCTGAGGGAGTTCATTTGTAGCTGACACATCATGTAAGAAACGCTACAGGGAGCACTCATTGGTCTGAAATAAAAGACTAATATACAGTAATATGAAACCATGAGATAAAAATAAACACTAGTCCCTAAATTAAAAAAAAACCTGTGCCATATTTTAGTTTGTAACATCTCTACTTTTCCTGTATGGTTTGAAAGACAAACGCACAAGACAATTATAAATCTGCTGATGAAAGCAGCATGTATAAAGAGGTAATCTAGGACAGCAGCAACACAAATAAGGGAAGAGAGACAGATGTAAAGAAGTGTACTACTGAGGCTGACCTGGTTTCACTTCAACCAGTTTGAGGCATTAATTTTAATCACCAAATAATCACTAATTAAAAAAAACCTTCGAATACAACAAAAATGAAATGAGGTGAATTAAAACGGCACAATTCAATAGAAAAGGCCATGATGGAGGATGTAAGCCACTAAAAACTCTAACAGTGAAAACAAACAGCAAAACAGCAGAAGTAAAGCATTCCTTACCTATAATCACATTCAATATAAATGAAATAAGGGCTGAAGGTGCAGCTTCTTGATGGGTTGCTCGTCCAGCACGTGTCAAGCACTGGATTCAATTCCCAGTACCATGGGGAAAAAAATAAATGAATTAAATTTTCCTACTAAAAGACGGATCAAAAGATTGAATTTTAAAAAACAATCAATCTGCTGGCATGGTGGCATAGGCCTGTAAACCCAGCACTCAGAAGGCTGAGGCAGGAGGATCACTGTGAGCTCTAGACCAGCCTGGGATACAAAATGAGTTCAAGGCCACCTGCACTATACAGCAAGACACTATCTTAAAAAGAAAAAAAACAGGTATATGGCCATAGACATATGCTTAAAAAACAAAGTGAGTTCAAGACCAGCCTGAGCAGCATAGTAAAACCCTGCTTCAAAAAAGACAAAAATAAAAAATAAGAAACAGCCTATCCATTGTTTATAACAGCTTCACTTCAGATGAAAGGACACAAAAAAGCTTAAACTAAATATATATTCCATGAACATAAAGAAGAAATATGTTCTTCTATATATAAAGGAAAAATATGTTCTATGCAAAGAGTAACCAAAAATAGTCATGGCAGATGCATTATTATCAGTAGACTGAAAGCCCAAGAAACTACAAAAGACAAAGATTCTACATAATGATAAAGGTTCCATACACCTAAAAACTAAGTTGTAAAAATATATGCATCTAACAGAGCCCCAAATTCATGAAGCGACAACAGCCCCAAAATATATGAAGAAAAGTTGACAGAACTGAAGGAAGAAATAGACAGATGTACAATTTCAGCTGGAGATCCAACACTATTCTGAGCAATGGAGAGAACAATCAGACAAAAGATTCATATGAAGACCGTACATAAACAACACCATACGCTAACACATGCGACAAGCTTCAGAGATCACACCACCCAACTCTCCACAACAGAATTACACTCTTCTCAAGCACAGTGGTACATTCTCTAAGTGAGACCATAAATTGGCCATAAATCTTAAAATTATCACAATCAAAGTAACCTTTCCAATCACAATAGAATCAAACTATCATTCAGTAACAAAAGGAAAACTGGAAAATTCACAAATATATAGATATTAAAACATTTCTAAATAGCCAATAGGTAAAAGACAAAGTTACAAGTTCAAAAATACTTCATAATAAAAAAAAATTAAAATGCAGTATACCAAAGCTTATAAGATACAGAGAAAGCACTGGTAAGAGGGCAATTTATAGCTGTAAGAGCATATATTAAAAAAAAAAAAAATTCAAATCAATAACCTAATCTAACCTTAACAAACTACAAAAAGTAGAACTAAACTTCAAGCAAGCAAGAAGGAAATAAAAACAAAATAGAAATAAAGCACACAGAAAAAAATGGCCACTGAAAAGATCAAAATTCATAAACTTTTAAATAGAGTTTTAAAAAATAAAGAGCCATCAGAGAATGAGTTTTATTAAATAGTCAAATAAGAATTAAGAGCTAGAAATGTAGCTCAGTGGTACAACATAGGCTTAGCATACGTAAGTCCCTGGGTTCAATCCCTAGCACACCTGGGGAGGGGGGGCAGTATCTTACAAACCCTTCCAAATAGCACAAGAGGCAGCAAGACAGTTCTCTATGTAGTCTCACACTAACCCAGTTCTCCCCTTTCTCACATGTAGTTCTCAAGAATGTAGCGTGTGCTGGAAATGCAGCAATCTGAGTTGAAGAGGAGCTGGCCAGAATGCCCTGCTCTATTCTAGTTCTCTTTAGAAACAGGGTGTCCTTCACCATGTGAGCCCAGCACACGACACGGAGCCAGGGCATGAAGCCCAGGGTGGTCCACCGTGAAGAGTTCCTCAGCTGTGGTGCATGCAGTCAAGTCTCTGTCCAACCCAAGCAGCTCTCACGTGTCTTGGGAGACTGGTTCTCCATTAATCCTAGGCTTCCTTTGCCCCTTACTGTCTTGCTTAAATCTGCTTCATAAACTTGTATGTGTGTTTTGTATCTTACCAAACTGGGAACCAGTACACAATGAACCTACCTCAGAGGCAAAGCTTCTAACTCATTCAGTGAAGTAAGAATTAGTCTAATAACAAAAACCAAAAGAAAACATCAGAAGATAATCAAAGACCAGTACTTCCTATAAATATAGATCAAGAATACTCATTAAAATACAGCACTAGAAAATGGAACCCACCATCTTATAAACTGATTATACACCATGATCAAATGGTAATTATCAGGGCTGGGGATTTAGCTCAGTGGCACAGCACCCGCCTGGCAAGCGTAAGGTCATGAATTCAACTCCCAGTACCGGAAAAAAAAAACAAAAAAAAAAGTAATTATCAGAAGAATAAGACTTAACATTCAAAAATCAATTAATGTAATGCTACAGCACATCACTATAAACACCACATGATTACATCACACAGGGAAAAAGCATTACTGTACAGTACGTCCCCAACTTACGAACACATTCCAATCCAGCAGAACCTTCAGAAGTCGGACTTGTTCGTAAGTCCAACAAAGTAAGTCTTATACACTTTGACACAAATGTACAGTGTGTACTGCTTTGCATTTCCTAGCAGTCCCCTCCACATCACCACTGCTTTTCCTCTTGCTTCTGGACATCCTGGGCTCTGCTGAGCACTGTCTACAGTACACTAGCGCACGGCACAGTGAGCACACAGCAGCACAGGGTTGACAATGTCTGACAGACGTGTGAGGGACTTCTGCAATCCATTCACATCTACAAATGTTCATAACGCAAGGTCCACTGATACCTGTGAATACTCACAACTCAAATGTTTGTAAGTCAGGGGCTTACTGTGTCCTCGTTATATAAGAAAATGTCCTTGGCCTTCAAAAATACCCAGTGACGGTGGCATCGTATCTTCTCGGACGTACTCTTGATGTTTCAGAAATACATAATATCCACATATGTACACATAAAAAGAAAATGATACAGCCAATGGGGGGAAATGTAAATAACTGGCACATCTGGGTAAAAAAAACATAGAGTTCTTGAACTATTGTGGTAATTTTTCAATGAAGTTAGAGATGCTATCAAAATAAAGTTACCAAAAAATAATAAAATAGGCAGAAGTGGAGAAATCAATATGAAAAGCTGCAGAAGCAACAGCAGTAAGCAGTGAAGCAATGAAGATCTTAAAGTCACGAAAGCCTATCCCTTGAAAACAAAAATAAAACAAAATACCCAATTCCCCTCTCCTGTACTCATCAAGATGCGTCACACTAGATGATGGTCTCAAACCCAGTCAAGCTCTAAAATCTGGTGGTTTTTGCCACTTCCCTTGGGGCCATTCTTTCTTTCCTTTGTTTCCAACACAAAATGATTTCCAGGCTGGGAGCCAAAGTAGACCCTCTAGGCCGGAACTGTTCAGACCACGCCACCCAAGGAACTAACGCTCCCTGGGGGGTTACCCTGGGAGCTCAAGTCCAAAGATTAAAAAGTAGGTTTAGAAATTATAAAAAGTGACTTCTGGAGCTGGGGATATAGCTCAGCGGCACAGCACCTGCTTTGCAAGTGTGAGGTCCTGAGTTCGATTCCCAGTACCAAAAAAAGGGTGATTTCTCAATGAATATAAGTAATCCTCCAACCGGAATGTTTTATAAAAGGCAAATACTCTGATCAGGTGGGGTGATACCTGCTTATAATACCAGCTGATAGGAAGCCTGACACAGAAGAAGTACAAGTTGCCCCCAGCCCGGCAACTTGGCAACTTAGGGAGATCCTGTCTCAAAATTTAAAAATCATTTAAGAACGGGTGGGGATGTAGCTCCATGCAAAGGTCCTGGGTGAATTCCCAGTGCTGCCAAGAAAGAAAAAAAAGCCAGGGTAAAATACATGGACTGTATTTCTGATGAACCGCAAAGGGCAAGGGTCCCAAGGACGATGAGAATGCTTCTGACACTGCGTGCTGGGGGTGGGAGCAGCGGTGTGATGAGAAACAATGTTTGTCTCCCCCCTTCACCCCAAAAACGTTGCCAGGCTCTTTCCGGCCATCTCTCTCTCCCTGATCCCAGCCGTGTGCACTATCTCTCTCACGATACACTTCGTATCTTAAATAACATTCTGTTTCTTTCATTTCTCTCATCATTTCAGCCCATAAATAAGCAGAGAGATAATGAAATGTTCACTAAATGTTTCCAAACAGTCACACCAAGAGTGATTTCTTTCTCCTTTGTCCTGTTTGAACTGTGTATAATGATCTTGTAAATATGTTAACCAAAAGAAATTTTTTCATTGCACTTTTAAAAACTCCCATTCTAGCAAATCCATTCATCTTAACCTTTCTTATTCCCGCTTATTAAAAAGAAGAAAAGGAAAGAAAACAAAAACAGTTCAAGCGCTTTCCCCTTATGACCCATTTTCCCCCCATGAGCGGCCCTCCCCACTCCCTCTTTTCTTTTTTTTTTTTTTTTTTTCTCCGGTACCGGGAACCGAACTCACAATCTTGCGCTTGCCAGGCAGGTGCTTTGCCGCTGAGCTAAATCCCCAGCACCCCCACTCCCTCTTTTCATCCGGCCTTCATCTCATCCCCAGTGACACAGGACAGGGCCACGGAAGAGACACAAGACAGAAAACAATGGAAGCTGGAACCAGGATACAGCCTAGAGAACGAAGGCCTGCACTTTGCTACCCTCTATTAATATGTTTCTCACCAGGAAGATGTCTGCGTAGCCAGCCAAGGACTCCACCCCCTCTTGGATCCGGGCTCCCCCAGAGTCATTCAGCCCAATCACTGGAGCACCCACTGTTATGGCCTGGTCCATGATCTGAGGCAGCAGAGAAATCTATTATGAGACAACTGCTCTTGTTGTCAAAAACAGCAAGCACGGCGTTTCCTGGAAAATATTCTGAGTGCAGTCAGGTGCATGTCTGTAATCCCAGCACTTGGGAGGCTGAGGCAGGAAGATCACGAGTTCAAGTCCAGCCTGGACTACATAACAAGACTATCTCGACAAAATGAAACAATGTTCTGAGTGTACTTTTCCACACTGGAGGCAGAAACGCTGGTTTTATCCCTCGTGATGACTGGGTACCTTCATGGAAGACAAAGGACCAGGTATAGATACATAGATACATACACATAAATTTGGGGGTTTTTGTTTCTTGAGACATGGTCTTGCTACGTAGTTCAGGCTAGTCTCAAACTCACCAGGTAGCCTAGGTGGCCTCAAACTCACGGCAATCCTCCTGCCTCAACCTCCCAAATGCTGGGATTACAAGCATACATCACCATGCCTAGCAAGGGCCAGATATTTAAAAGGCTGAGTAAAGCACCCCCCAACATTCAAAGGCCAGGCACTTCTCATTAGCAAGGAATAACACTGCTCGTGGCAGCTACTTCTAGAACCACAGGCTCAGGCTGTCGTAGCTTCAACAGCCAGAATTGTTATCAGTTGTTCTTTTTTCTTTTTCTTTTCTTTTCTACGGGGAGGGGAGAAGGAAGGAGAAGAGTAGGAAGGGAGGATGGAGAAAAGGAGGAGGAAGAGAATGGGAAGGAGAAGAAGAGGAAGGAGAAGGGAAGGACAGGAAGGAGAAGAACGGGAAGAAGGAGAGGGAGGGAGGAGGAAGAGGAGGAGGAAGAGAAACGGAAGGGGGGAAAGGCACTTCATAGTTGTTCTTAGGAAGAACCGATTTCAAACAATGGTGAAGTCGTATTTTCATGGAAGCAAACGTTGGCCCAGGTCTGCTTTTACCTAACGTGACAGACTGTCTTCATGGGTCAGTAGCTCCGACAGCATAATGAGGGACATTTCTATAGTCCCTGAAAGTTTACAAAGCGTATTCACCTCCTCTGTCTCATTTAACAGTTATAACAGAGGCAGAGAGGGAAAGAAAGGTTTAAAAGGAATCCCTGTACTGGGAGGCTGAGGCAGGAGGACTGCAAGTTCAAGCCCAACCTGGGCAATTTAAGAACTCAGTGAGACCTTGCTTTGAAATAAAAATAAATAAAAAGGGCTGGACATGTAGATGAGCGTGGAGACTCTGGGTGGGTTTGGTCCCCAACAGTACTCCAAAACAAAGCGACACAAGTAACCCACAGCCTCAGGAGGAACACATGCCAGGACCTCTCCAGAAACCAGGTGTTCCCACTGCAGAGGGAAGCTCTGCCCACCACTAGCAGTGCGGTTAACTCCAAAATCTCCGCTTTGCCTCTTCCTCAGAACATCTAAACCTGCCGCGGCTTTGTGCGTGCCAGGCAAGCACTCTACACTGAGCTACTTTCCCAGTCCTCTGCGGGTGCTGTTAAAACATCACCATGTAATGTTCACACTGCTCTTCACCACTTCACGCCTGGACTCTCCCAACCCTGGGGTTCTTTAGGGTCCACAGATCCACGGGCATGGGAAGGGATCTGGGAACAGATTTCAGCAGCTCATGAATTTGTCTGTTTGTTTGTTTGTTTGAGACAGGATCTCACTGTACTGTTTAGGCTGCCCCTGAACTCACTATGTAGCCCTGGCTGGCCTCGAACTCACAGCAATCCTCTTGCCTCCCAAGTGCTGGGATCACAGGTGCGCACCACCACACTGGCCAGTTTATGAATCTTGATGGCAAAAAGTTTACATTTTTACTAACCCTACCTTATCTGTAGCATTTCCTTTAAGTATGAATATAGCCAATAAACCACAATAGGTTTAGCGATACCTGTAATTTTGTCATTAATAGAAGCTGGATGTTTTTGTTATATTAAAGTTGTTGCAGGTAACCTTAAATATCATCTTTATTCATGCATATTTTGAAATTACACCAAATTACTAAATATACTGCTAAGCCTGTTATATTACTACATTAGTAAGGAAGCACATACATTACAAATGTTTTTGAATATTTTTAGTCCTTTATAATTTTACATATTTTATCTTACACATGTACAAATACAAGGGTCCAGGCTTTGCTTGTCCCTCAAAGAGATCCATGGTACACAAAAATGCTAAGAATCCCTCTAGGTCGATACCACACATTACACGACTCTGCCCCACCCTAAGCACCCAACTCAGTGACTTACACTCATAAAATACTCCACACCATACCACAGATAAAAGTATTTATTTTTAATATTGAACACTTACTTTGCAGATCTTCTGAGCATGTGCTCCTGACAGACTGCCTCCAAAAACTGTGAAATCCTAAAAGGGAAACAAATCAACAAGTAAAATATGACTGGCCAGAGAGAAAGAGTCAGTGAGAAAAAATGGGCCAGGCATGATGGTGTATAGCTGTAATCCCAGCACTCGGGAGGCTGAGGCAGGAGGACTGCTGTGCATTGGTGACCAGCTTGGGCTGCCTAGTGAATTCAAGGCCAGCCCAAACAACACAGCAAGACTCTCTCAAACCACTCCCCTCCAAAATAAGAAGAAATAGAAAACACATAGATAAATGTTTTTAAAGGAGTTTCAGAAGTTATAAAAACAGAGAAGAGCTGGGGATGTGGCTCAGTGGTTGAGCTCTTGCCTTGCATGCACAAGGCCCTGGGTTCAATCCCCAGCACCACCAAAAACAAACAAAAAGAGGGAAAAATCTGACTCATAGATTATTCCATAAAATAGTGAATAAAAATATCTTAAAGGGGCCAGGGATATAGCTCAGTGGCACAAGTGCCTGCCTGGCAAGCATAAGGTCCTATGTTTGAATCCCAGTACAAAAAAAAAATCTTAAAGGGAGTTCATGTATTGAAGAGCAAAGGACTTAAGTCTTCACTCTATAAAAATGATTTGCAGCTGAGGAAATAACTTACTTGGGATTAACCCTAATATCAGATTCCATGGATATCATCCAGGGATTTCTATTTCTAGGAAACATTTGCTGTTTTGACAAATGACAGCTGTTGTCTCTACTTATGGACTTTCATTACTTTCACATTAAAGGGCTTCTTGTGGGCGTGGCCTCCCTCCTAAAACCTCACCAAAAGGACAAGAGGGCTGAGCACGACACAAGCCTATAATCCCAGCTACTCAGGAGGCTAAGGCAGGTGAATGAAAAGTCTGAAGCCAGCCTGGGCAACTTAGCAAAAAGAGCCTGTCTCAAAAAATGAAAAAAGAAGCCCATGCCTATAATTCCAGGACTGTTGGGAGGCTGAAGCAGGAGGACTGCATGTTTAAGCCCAGACTGAGCAACTTGGGACAGGGAAGCAGAGGAAAACAATGACAACAGTAGAGAATTAAACAGATTCAACTCACAAGGATGAGCAGACAACAGCAGGGAAGACTGAATAAACTTGAGGCAAACTGAAATCACAAGAACACCTCCCTTAGAGGGAGGAAATGGAAGCCTGCACACCTCAGAAAGGGTGACCAAGGGAGGGGACAATCAAGAAAGAAGGGAAGTGCGAGGTGAGGAGGGCCTGGAAACAAGTTAGAAGAAAGTCTGTGGTAGAAACAGTCCAATTGGGTTGGGGATTTAACTCAGCAGCACAATGCCTGCCTGGTAAGCACAAGTCCTGAGTTTGATTCCCAGTACCAAAAAAAAAAAAAAAAAACAGGAAAAGAAAAAGGCCAGCTGATCAATCCCTCGTTCAGTACCCCTCAGTTGCTATTTCCAATGTCCCCTTTCCCCTAAAGCTTTCCTCCACCCAGGATATGAACATTCCTCATCCTGAGTCCACAGCACTTGCCGGGACCCTGTACAGTGACCCTTCCCGTTCTGCCCTGTGTGACCTACAACGTGATTTGCCTGAAGGCCATAACCCCTTCTCAGGCATTTCCACCCTCTCCTCATCTCCACTTACCTCAGAGGCACAAGAGGGACAAAAAAGAAGCACAAGAGGCTCAAAAGCATCAATATGACGGACTTTTTATCTGCTTAAGCAGCAAGGTGAACCCCACATCAAGAAAACACAGTAACTTTCTTTGTGCTGTTTTTTCAGGTACCATGTGAATTTTTGCCCATTCTTACAAATGGGGAGGGGGCTGATTCCTTCTAACTCAGCATTATTTTGTCTTTTTGACAGGGTCTCTCTATGCAGTTCAGGCTGGCCTTGAGCTCACTTTGTAGCCCAGGCTGGTCTTGAACTCACAACGATCCTCCTGCTTCAGCCTCCCAAGTGCTGGGATTACAGGCATGCACCACCATGCCCAGCTTAACATTTCAAAAGTAATTCAATTAGTAAATCAATACTGTCTCAATGTGATACATTTATAATTAAGCAATCATTTCAGTATCTCTTTAGGTTCCTAGATAAGCTAACTTTAGGCCTGTGAAAGCAGCTAAATATTTTTAAGTGTATATACATTTCCACCTATGGAGGGGGGAAGTATCCAAAGTAGCACACAGAGATTCTGTTGTTGTTGTAACAAATTAACACAACTTCAGTGGCTTAGAAGAACATGTTTACAACCTCCCAGTCCTCTGGTTTAGAAATCTTATACAGGCCTCACTGGGCAGAAATCAAGCTGGTGGTCCTCTCTGTTCTTACCTCTCCCAGCTTCCAGAGACTGCTCCCATTCCTTCACTCACGGACTCCTTCCCCTCCATCCTCAAGTCCTTTCACGCTGTGCCACTCTGACCACTTCTCCAGCCTCCCTCTTCCGTCACTCTACCACTGCATTCCATCATCAGCCTTCTATTACTTTATTTTGAGACAAGCTCTTGCTAAATCGCCCTGGCTGGGATCTCATTTACAGCACTCCCGCCTTGGCTTCTCACGTAGCTGGCCGCACAGGAATGCACCACCGTGCCTCGCCCTCCTTCACTTTTAAGGAGCCTGGCAATTATACTGCGTCCACCTGGATGAGCCAGGCAAGCCTCTCTATTAAGGGCATCTGATCAACAACCTCACTTCCTCTTTGCTGTGAAAGGTAACACGTTCACAGGTTCTAGAGATCAGGACCTGAAGATCCTTAGGGAGTCATGACTCTGCCTAAGATGCTCTCCTACAGACTCGGTGTGAACAGGCTGACGGGATGCAACCTGACACCACTTACACAAGTGCCCCACGTTCAGGGCCCAGGGGTTCTGACAGTCTGGTCCCCTTCACCCAGGCTGTACCTGCTGCACTCTTGGGTACAAACACATAGCTGGGGACAAAGCTGCCCTCCAGCCACACCCCTAACACTGCCAAAAGGAATCTCATTCATATGAAAAGCACTGCTTCCTGAACAACTTCATACATACCCGCGTCCCCGTGATCCTCCCCTTGGTCCTCCCTAGAGACTCTTCCTTCCAAGGGAAAAGATGTAATGCTCTAGACATAGGAAATGAAAAGGAGAAAGCAGATCTCTCATCTTCCCCAAACTGTAAGATTTTATTCTCCAAAATTTTCTTGCACATATTTTCTCCCTGGCTGTCAGGAAAGCTCAGCGCATTGGAGATGTGAAATACCTGACTGAAGACATAAACCAATCTTCCGTGGATCCGGCCCCGTCCAGTGACCACGCTATCTCCAGGAAACTATCAGAGAAATAGAAAGGTAAGGGTTAAAAAAATCCAAACACTTCTGTCTTTTAATGAATTTAGCAACTATACCCCAAGGAAAGCTGAAACACTAAATTCCTTAAAAGTCAATCTAACACAAAGGAGTCCCACCCTCCCGCGATGACCTTATAGCAGCCAGCAGACTCCACTGAGGGAGTGAAAAGTGTAGACTCTGAAACTGCAGCTTCCTTCCTGAAAACAAAACAATCAGGCTGGGGTCACAACTCAGTGGCAGGGTGCTTGCCTACCATGCACAAGGCTCTGGGTTCAATCCTCACCACTGTTAAAAAAAAGAAAAGAAAAATAATAAGACACTTCTGAGCCCACTGTCAGATGCTCATGGGGAGGAAAACATAAAGCATGGCAACTTTTCCAAAACCACACACCCCTATCTCAAACCTTAAAAAGGCAAACCCAGCTAGGACTGGGGGTGAATCCATGTAATCCTAGCACTTGGGAGGCTGAGGCAGGAGAATCACCCAAGTTTCTGGCCAGTCTGGGCTACATAGTGACATTCTATCTAAAAAAAATAAAAAAAAAAAATACCATTTTTCATGGCACCTCGGCAATCAGTGTAGTCGATAATGGCTCAAATGGGGTAAGCTGGTTTGGTGCCAACTTTACATACCCTTGGCCACTGAAATCACATATATAGAAAAATGGATCAGAAGTGAGTCCAGTGAATTCTACGAAAGGCACTCACTTTTGCTGATCTCAAGAACTCAGAGATAAACTTAAATCATTTCCAAAAAAGGCAATGGTCAGCACTTAGGGGTCTTTGGAACTTGGTCCTCAGAGCACAACTGAAAGACAGTCTCCTGTCTTCAGAGAGACCCGCTTTCCACATGTGTCATTTTGTACCAGCCAGAACTGAACCTTCAACCAGAGCTCTGGCAACCAGGACTAAGTCACAGGGCAGAGTATGAGCAGCCCACCCACATCCACCCACAGACAGGAGCGAGAGGAGCAACCTGGAGGCTCCCACAGTTCTCAGAAGACTCAGAGAAAAACTGTACAGACCATGACTCTGCGGCCAGCAGAGCCTCCACTGGGAAGTGTTCACACCACCACTTGAGCAGATACCTTATTCTTATCAGCAGCCATTCCAAAATCTGCACATCTGTGTTCCACAAACATGTCACTCTCCACGAAGCTGCCAGGGTCCAGCAAGAGACAGATCCGCTCCCTGGCAGTCAGTTTTCCCTAAAACACAACAAAGATCACTCAGTAGGGTCATCAAAGTTAATAAGCAAAGGAGTGTTCATAAGGAAGCCAGGAAGATAGGTTTTAACCCTTCACCCTGATGTGCAAGCCTCCATTCTCTCTGATCTGCCCAGGGCAAACAAGTGTTATAACAGACTTCATTTCAGACAGTGAGGAAAGCAAAGTAGACAGATGCTCCAGGAGCCACCTGAGTGAAAGGTAAATAAGGGAGGAGGGTTGTGGGTGGTGTCACATGACTGTAACTCAGTACTCAACAGGCTAAGGCAGAAGGATCACTGTTAGTTCAAGGCCAGCCCAAGGTACACAATGAATTCAAGACCTTGATTCAAAAAGGAAGAAGGCAAGGAAGGTGGAGAGAAGTAGAAGAGGGACCTAACCCTGAACAAGCTATTGCAGAAACACTTATAAGGGACCTAAAGAATTGGGAAGTAGGTGAAACCCTAACACAGGCTTAGGGAAGGGCCTTGAGGCTTTACCTTCACATTTCCAGGCTTTTCCTATGGAAGCCTAAGAAACATGCCTCACCAGGCCTAACCCCTGCCTCCTGCTCTCAGCTCCCATGGGGCTCTTCTGCCTCCACCATGGGCTTCTCCCCTTACTTCTCGTACCTCACACTGGGGGCCCTGCTTAGAGACCACACACCTGACAGAGAGCCCTCAATAGGTAACTGCTGAGTAAAAGGAAATGGGCCAGAGTGCTAATGAGCTTGCTTGAGAAGAATTCAAAAAACAAAAACAAAAAATAGCACTCAAGAAGCTGAGGTAGGAGGATATCAAGTTCAAGGCCAGCCTGAATTACATACCAAGATTCTGTCCCAATATCGCCTAAAAATACTTCTTAGAGATGAGGCTGAACATCCCAGTTTATCAAGAGCCTCCACTATGCCACAGCTGCAATGCCAGCACTCGACGGCTGAAACAGGAAGACCGCAAGTATGAGGCCAACCTGGGCAATTTAGCAAGACGGTGGCCCAGCACTCCTCGGGGAATCTCTACTCCCAGGAGTGCAAACAAATAATAAAATAAGATAAAAGCCTCCACTGCTTGCATACCTAAAAGCTCAGGCCCAGCCAAATACTCTATGCCACTGTACCTCCCCCTAGCAAAGTAACCAAACCCTGCAAGAATGTGTTAAACAATAAGCCATCCTATACAGTGTTGTATACAGCTGAGTAAGTTCTGGGAAAAGAAATTTGGCAGTACGTATTTTTTTTAAATATTTATACCCTTTGACATACTAATTCCATTTCAAGGAAATCTATCCTATGGAAATACTCCAAAAACTGTTTAAAAGAGGGTGGAAGTCTGCCTCCCAACCAAAACAGCTCCGGCAAAAGAACAGCTTCTGCAGGCTGCATCTAAACCTAACACAATCTGCCTGGGAAGGGATGAGGCAATGTTCCAGAAAGGGATTGAGCAATTAGCCCTGCTCAAAGAGTGCACTGGAGCACTGATGGGCCTCTCCAGAGGACGAGCTAACGTTTTCTCACCCCACAGAGATGCCCCACTCCAGGCACCACAAGCAGTCAGCCACATTTATAGTTCACTGCCAAGTGCAAAAAAGGAACTGTCACCTTCAGGCCTTTGTAAAATGGAAATCGATGACACCTGAATCAACACCTGATTTAGACTCAGATCTTCTCACCCCTGATCCCAGCTTTCTCAATCACCTCCCCCACACTTGTTAGTATCCGCGTGCCCTTCACGAACTCTTAGGAGTTCAGTCCTGCAGCTTCTTATTGATAACTTGTCCAGCACTTTGGGAGAGACTCAAGCACGAGTGAGGGTCACACCCGGCAAGCCTGCTTCCAACCTGAGGTCACTTCTCCCAGGTTCTTCTGCTGCTAAATTGCCCACCCAGTGTATTTTTGAAAGGTGACTCTCAACTCAGACTCCACGCAGTCGTAAAACCCGTATACCTACAGGCACTAGGAAAAAAGTGTTGAATTTTAAAAAGTAAATAGTACCCAAAAAATTAAAAAAGACAAAAAAAAAAAAAATCGCCTGATGCGGAAGCATGGAAATATGTATCCCAAGTATTTATCGCATTTTATTGGCCGGCTCATGAGTAACTGCCGTCATATGTGCTTTCCTTTTTCACAAATTAATCTGAAAAACAGTCCAACAGTGCCAGGCAGTGCATCAATTGCTCCAGCCAGACAGCAGGGTAACACGCACACTCCTGGAGAGGCCACCCCTTCCTGCCCAGGATGCGCGCTGAGACCTCAAAAGGGTGTCGTGTCTCTGGGCAGCACACCCCACCCAGGGTTATTGTGATTGTGCCCAAATTACTTCCTCTACCATATGCCTCCATTTTTCTGTTCTCTTCATGGAAAAAGAACCTGCGCGCCACACTTTCATGGAGCAGAAGACGAAGCAGATCTTTTTTTTTTTTTTTTAAACTGAGGGTCCATCGCTGCTTTGCTCTCTCTATTCTAACAAGATTGTGAGGGAAGAATTATAATCATCTTCTGCATAAAATAAATTGATTCTAAATATTAAACTGCCAAAAAGTTTACAGTTGTTAAATGGACAGCTGACTGGAACCTAGCAAGGTCCGCCTAAATTTCTAAGGGGTCGTCAGCGAGAGACAGCACACAGACGCCTATCCTGGTTTCCCCCGCTTTGGGGGAGACCACAAGTCCTTCGTGTGAGCGTCCTCGCTACGCCCCTGCACGGCGCCAATTGGTTGAGCGGCTCGGGCACCGAGAGCCATGCGAGCTGTGATAGGTCGCAAAGGAAGGGGCGGGGCTCGTTCGACCCTCGGACTCACTCTCTTATGCTGCGCTTCGATTCGGCGCTGGCCTCCTCCCAGCAACGCTGCGCTTCGCTTGTTCTCGATACGTTCGTTAATGGAGGCTGGTTGGCTACAAAGGCTGCGAACTGTAGTGCGGAGAACACTAGATAGAACCCTGAGTCTAGCTCCAGTCGCCGGCACTCGCATTGCTGCCGCCATTGTTCTGCCGGCGTGCCTTGAACTAGCGCACTTGAGTGCGCATGTGCATAAAGCCGGGGCGCAGCTGGGCCTGCGCCTGCGCAACGTTGCCGGGACGTGGGGATCTGGGGGCCGGGCTACTGAGCGCCCTTGGGAGTGCAGGGTGTGCGTTAGAGGGCTTGATCTGTGTACGGAGTTGTGCAAAAAAAAAAAACAACTGAGGCCCGGCCTATGGATCTTACGCGCGCCTTGCACAGAAGAGGGATTACATTCGTGCTTTCTTTAGTGACCTACACCCTCGGCTTTGTTGTCCCTTTTCCAGAAAAAGAGCAGATAGTAAGCATTAATTAACCAGCGTCAGTTGCACACTGCCACGAGTTGCTTTTCGCACTTACCATTAGCTAGCCCATTTCTGATTTCACAAGTGAGGCAGATGAAGCAGAGATGGGTTGAACGATTTGATCTAGAGCCAAGACTGAAGATGAGGTAGACCCAGGATTCAAACTCAAGAGACTTAATAGAATGCACCAGGTATTGAGCATAGAACTTTAATTTGTAGTGAGTCTGTCTCTAAGAAGACCCTGTTTAAAAAAAAAAAAAAAAAAATTGTGACACTTGTTGAAGAATGGGAAATCAATCGGTATTCAGGACCCTCTTAGATTAAGGACTACTGCATTGAGAGAGACTGAGATTAAATCCGAACACAGAGAAAAGGGGGTTTATAGCCAACAAGCAGGGAAGGAGGTTAAAAGACAACTTCCGGGGAAAGTGAGACTCTAGCTAAACCTATCAGGGATCTTGCTGAAGGCAGGCCAGGGTACTCAGAGGTCACCTGCGGGATGGTGGAAGATTCGAAACCTGATCAGATGTAGAGCGATCAGATACCAACTGTAGAGGATTCCCCGGGAACTAAGCAAGATTTTTGCTAAAACTAGCCTCTACAAGAAAGGACCTTGGGAGTCCAAGGTCAGGCCTACTCCAGAGAGAACTCGCGAAGTTTGGTCTATGGAGAGAATCTTGTCAACACAGCAGTTGCAGGGGTCAGGTTGAAAATGCAAATTCTAAAGTGCTCGGATTTCACCCCAGAACAGTTATTGCGTTCTAAGGACTCCTGCTAAAGATTTCGCGTTCTTCTTGTCCTGAACTTTTAAAGAATTGGACAAAACAAGCACGAGAGGTAGCAAAGTTTTACATTTATTAAAGGTAGGAAAAAAAACATGCTCTGCAATGAAAGTGTGGGCCAATTAAAAGTCGGAAAAGAAGTACACTCTGCAGGGTGGGAGCCGATCACTGTGAAAGGAGTCCAGGAGCCTAGAGCTTAATGGCAGCCATCTCTTGTATTGTCCACTCCTCAGGCTGAGGTCAGATCTAGGCTGTCCTATCAAAAACCTGCTTTAGTTCTGGTAAGACGAATTAAAGTATTTTCTGATTGGTCCCAGCTGCAGGGTTTTGGGAATTGTTCTGTGTATATCTCCTGGATCTCCATGATTGACAGGTCATGCCCCCTTGCCCAGACAGTTTGCCATGCCCTAATCTTCTGTCTCTGACCTACTGAATCAGAAATGGGACATGGCCAGTGAGTGATCTGTTTAGCAGATAATTTTAATTCTGATGCTTAGTGAAATTTAACAATCACTGCCTGAGTCGTCTGAAGCTGAACTGTTGAGAACTTGTCCATTTGTTTCCCCAGCTAACAGGCAGGTATTCAAGGCAAAGTACAAGGTACATAGTTCTCATTCTTAACCACAGAAAACTGCTAAAGTTGATGATTAACCCTTCCAAGACCCAGCTCACAGCCAGAACCTTCATAAAGTCCAAATTCTGGCTTAAGACTTTAAAGTTAATGGAATTCAACTCAGCAAACATTTTTGAGCTTCCATGTGCCAAGAGCTGATTATTAATGCTGTGTTTCCTGGAAGAAGAATTGTTTTCCAGATGTACAGGAAAGCTAAAGTCCAAAGCCTGAAGTCTCCTGGCCAGACAAGGCCTACCTGCATCTCTCTGATTTCACAGGTGCTACTAGACCTACTTTTGGATCTCTGCTTTAAGGTTCTCACCAACCTAGAAAGTAGACAAATGGCTGGTCTTGGAGAACATGAGAATTTGGGCAGTGCTAAGTGTGTCATGGATAATATCTCCAAGAAGATAAATGCATGCTAAGGAGTAGGAGCTGTGTGAGCAAAAGCCTGATGTGTTCAGATTCACATACACACATATACAGCTTGGTTATGTCCCTAGCTTTTGGGGTAATGATGATGAGACTGGAAGCGATTGTGGACGTGTCCAGAATTGGGACTTCATTTGGGCTGGGAGTAGCACCTTGTAGATTGCCCTCCTAAAGCACATTTCCCACTGTGTTAAAATTGTTTAGCTGTCTTTTCAGCTAGAAGGCAAGGATTTCAGCCATCTTGCTCACCACTAGCCCCTACAGGTGGAACACAGACAAAAACATAGGAGGCCTTCAGAATGTATGTGTGACGCTGAACTGAACTAACAACACAACTTCACATGGGTCTGGAGGTTTTCACCTACTCGTATACATGCTTTCAGCCTCTGCTTGGGTATTATCTCCTCCAAGCAGTTTATCCTCTGCTGGGGCCGGGGTAAGCACTGGTCCCTCAGGGAAGCAAGGAACATTTTGTAGTTAAGTAACTAGTACTTAGCAAAAAGTCTGAAACACTGAACCTTATTCTCCTTCCAGCTCTTCCTTCCCATCTTCTTTTTCCTTATATCAGTCTTTTTCATTACTATAGTGAACTACCTGGAGCAAGTAATTTATAAACAAAAGAGGTTTATTTTGGCTCACAGTTTGGGAAGCTGGAAATCAAAAAAGTATGGGGCAGTTTCTCACAAGGGACCCTTTGGTGGCATCACATCATGATAGTAGTGTGTATAGATCTCTGTGTGATCTCTCCCTCTCCTCAGAAACCCACCAGAATTCAATCACAGAGCCCCACCCTAATTATTTAATCTAATAACTTCCCAAAGACCTGACCTCAGGTTAGGTGTCTAGTGTCTAGTATTAACATATGACTTTGGGATTTGAATTCCTGCATGACTTGGGAGAAGGACAAATCATATTCAAACCACAGCACCCCTCTTCTTTCTCATCCTCCTCTCTGTCCTAGTGACCTACCCATGGACATTCCACTCATAGTTCTGTAGATCTGTAATACTATTCCTCCCGCCTCAAATGCAAGTCCCAGCCTGGGGTAGATAGGCTACAAGGAGGGCCGCACTATCCAGGAATTGGCCTCTTGATTGCTTTCTGCTCTGGTCTGCTTTCCTGTCCTACACTTGAAGATTTCTATTTTTGAGTTATTTCTCTACTATGAGAAAGGAATTAGCCTGACCTATCTTTAGTTTTCTCTGTTTTTGAGAGAGTAGAGCTGAAAATCTGGAGTCAGAATAACTGTCTGTAGCCTGAGTGCCGTGGTGCATGCCTGTAATCCCAGGCATGGAGAATCAAAAGGTTGAGGCCAGCCTGGCCTACAGAGCAAGTTCAAGACCAGTCTAGACTACATAGCGAGACCTGTCTCAACAGCAACAACAACAACAAATATATGGCAGCAAATCTTGCTTCTGCCCGGACTTCTTAAGTAACACAAGATATTTCACGTTAGGGCCTCAGTCCCCTCTGTAACCACATAGATGGAGTGTTTTGTAAAAGCCCTGAGTTCTCACCTCCCTTCCATAACATAAAACAACATAACAAGCAAAGAACTTAGCCATTGGTGTCAGACCAGCTGTATTAAATTCCAACTTCCAGCTACCATTGTGTGATCTTGGACAACTTAGCCTCACGTTTCTCTTCTGTAAAATGGGAGTATTACTTCTGCCTCATGGAGTTGTAAGGTTTAAATGTGAGAATATACATGAAACACCTAACATAATGCCTGGCAAATGTGAAGTATTCCTTAAAAGTTACTTAATAAGTGCTAGTAGTTTCCTGAGGTAGTTTTAGCCACAGAAATTCTTGTGAGTATTCCTCAGAGTTGAAGGTGAACACAATTGATGGTATTTATCTACTTTCTTTCAGAAGGATCGAGGGTGGGAAGACAGTGAAATAGGTACATTTTCTGGTCATTCCAGCAGGGTTAGTCACTACGTGCAGCCAGGATGAGCATGATACAAGGAAGTGAAAGAGGTCACATGTATTTAGTCTAGATCTTCAGACAACCAGCTGCCAAGAAGAGAATTAGGATACAAAAAAATCAATGAGAGAACCACCTGTGTATTGGCAGTAGAGAGGGAATCTAGGGCAGTGGTGGCAAACCTGTGGCCACAGCAGGCACACAGAGCTGTCTGGGTCAGCACGTGAGCCAAGCATATGAGCCTTCTATTCTAAATTAAACCCTCAGTATTCAGGTTTAATTAAAGTGTTGGCACTTTGCAATAACAAATAAGTGGGTTTTAGGTTGCAGTTTGGGCACTCAATCCCTAAAAGTTTTGCCATCTTGGGCTAGGGACTTGTGGGACAGTCATCATATCACAGTGCAAGTCTGACCTCTAGTCAAAGAGAGGGAAGAAAGGGAGGTGGGTAGGAGATTCTCCGGCTCCTGTACAGTTTGTTTCTTTGCATGGTTGATTTTTAAAAAAATTTTTTGTACCAGGAATTGAACTCAGGACCTTGCGACTGCCAGGCAGGCACTTGTGCCACTGAGCTATATCCTTGGCCTGTTTGTTTTTTTGAGCAGAGTATTGTTTTGTAGTCTAGGTTGGCTTTGAACTCACTATATAGCCCAGGCTAGCCTTAAACTTGAGATCCTCCTACTTCAACCTCTAAAGTACTAGGATTATAGGCACACACCACCATGCCCAGCTCCTGTGCAGTTTTTTTAATTCATGGGGTAGGAGGTGGTGGATTGATACTGAGGATTAAACCCAGGGCCTTTGCACTAAGCTATAATCACAGCCCTTTTTTTAAATCTTTTTTTTTTAAATTAGTACGTGTTTGTAGTACATACTGATTACATTCATTGTGGGGAGTTGGTACACATACCTAACACATCTTAATCCCATCCCTTTTAAAAAAAATTTCCCAGGCTGGTCTTGAACTTGCAATCCTC